TACACTTTTTTCATTTTAAAAGTTAAAGGAACTAATGTTAATACTTATTGTATTACTTCAAATGCAAGCGTGCAAATTTCTTAGTTTGATCACTATGCCTATACAGGCATCTATACAACTTCATTCGATTTTTTTCTCAGGTAAAATAGCGCAAGCAATATCATTCAGCAAACACGCCCGTCAATGATCCACCATCAGATTGTTCAAGTGTCCGATTTAAATGTCTCCTCCCCTTGATTTAAATAAACGAAACTCAAATAGAGTTCGGTACGACTTTTCCGGATTTGGGGTATCTATAGGCATTTAAAAATCTTCATTTGTTTCAAATCCGTTCTGATTTAGGTGATGTTTTAACGTTATTTTAATTAGAAATATCCACTTGTGATTAACTATTACCAAAAGAGAACAATTTGGTAATATATTCTAAAGTAATACTGCACTGAAAGGGCCCATTAAGCATTGCTTAAGTGCACTTGTCCTTTTAAGGCAAAAATCAAAATATATAGGGATATTAGAATGTCAAATTTTGATGATAACATTTGATTATTAAAGATTTTATAGCAAGTGTGACATTACCGTTGGGTCAACCCTCGTATTATCATGCCCTACTCTTCAGAAGAAGAAAATTATTCTGTCCCTGGAGAAGAAGATGAAATAGGAAAAGTTTTTTTTTTTTCAACGCAATTACGACACTGACGAAGACAGTGATGAACATCGGACAAATTTAAATTTGATTAGAGAAGTTCATTTGAGCCTTGGCTTGGCTCAGGTGCGCAAAAATGGTTCAGATTCTGTAAACAAAATCAATTATGTATATTTGTTTCTTTTTTCTTCTTTTTACTCTTTATCTATCTATCTATTCGAAATATTTAAAACTTTTGCCTGGTTAAATGCCTACTTTAAATAAAATTCTATCAAATATTCAATACCGATGCTGAAGCACTTCTTTTCTACCTTCAATGATATAATATTCAATGACAAAACATAGGACAGGAACATTTAATTTTGAGAGGAAATAGAAGTTTTTATCATTATACCAAACATTTCAAGATTTCAATATCAGATTTTTAATGTTGATATTTAGGTTGTATTTTACATAAATCATCGATTTTGTTACACTAAGTGATTTTATTTCATTTCAATGTAGATAGGCATAAGATTTTATGCAATCACCAGAGCGTACTATTTCGATTAATGTAAAATGAAATTTATCAAAATAAAGCACCTTCTCAGTTTTGATAAGTACAACAAGAAATCTATAAGAGCAGTCAAGAAAAAAAATTTATTCGTAGATGCTAGTTTTCCTTAATCGTTTTAAAAATCAAAGTTTCACAATTGTAATTGCAACTTTTTGAGAACGATTTAAGCCTTTTTTCAATAGTAATTTTGTTCTTCTCTCACTTACATTATCTATTAAATTCCAGTCCTCATCCTGATAGTAATTAAAAGCTCTTTCTTGCATATCACAACCCAAATTAGCTTTGCGTTTGGAAGTTTTTTCACTTGACTTGATTTCCTTTGCTTAAAGTTAAATATTATAAAAATATCTTACTCATATGTTTTAGGAATTCATTTGAACTATTATGATGAATGGTTTATTTTTTCTGTTTTTTTTTTATGTTGAAAGATTTTTCTAAAGTAAAATATCTAGTATTTTTGAACATTTGGTCAACATTGTTGTTTTTTCCTCTGGTTCTACTGCAAGTCCGAAATATACTTACAGGTTTAAATTGTTTTAAGGTGTGAAGCCAATTTGTCTCGTTAATGTTCTACGAGTCCATATCTTTACTTTTCACGAAATATTTACTGATCTGAAGGACAAAATTCCCTGCACTGTGCTACAATATACTCAAGAAATTGTGTTAATCAAATGTGTATTCATTTGAAATAACAAAATCTTTTAAAAATAAATACCATAAGAAAGTATGGTTTTTCATTTAAATACAACCATTCTTTACGATAAATGAAAAACTGGTGTTTTGTGTTTTGTCATCATAGACAACTGCTTCTTCAATGAAATTGGAATGAGGAAAAAAAACATAAAGACATAACCCTGCCCCTATATAGTAAAATTTTGAAAATCTTATGAAACGTGCAAAAAGGTATCGTATAACTTTTTCCCTACGCATCCTGTGTATAATTTTTGCAAAAATATTCCAAAACACGTTTTAATAGCGTAGTCCTATTTTTGCGATTCTCCCAGTGAAATCTAAGATTTATCTATGTAAACGATATGGTAAACAACTGGTGACAATCATGCAAATTTATTTATTTCATTTATTTTTTTTTTGCGATCTAAAAAGACGCTTGCAAAAAAGTGCAAATTGGACTATCACAAAAAACACCCTTTATACGGTACATGCCGTATGAGTTAACAAATATATAATTAATTGGAAACAATTCATTGCATTTTTTGTTTCTATGACGTCAAAAGCAATTGGGATTTCATCGAGGAGAAAATGTACAAATTGTGTTTAATTTTGACTACAGCATGCGCAGAGCATTAACTTGCTCAGGCGCTTCATTCACATTTTTTAGTGATAATATCATTTTACACAGTATACTAGGGTCAATCTAAAAGTAGTGTCACAACCTCTATATAATCGTTAATAATCCAACAAAATATAATGTATAAATACCTCTAGTCATTTGGACTTCTGCTTAAGAATCTCCTTCAGATATATGCAATACTTTTTATAATATTAAAATAAACACAACATTGGGTATCGTCTATCGTCACACGCATGAACTTTTTTTTTTTTTTTTTGAAAAACCACTACATGAGTATAAGTTAAGAAAACAGTTACTGACTATTATCAATTAACATTTTTTTTCCAGTAATATTTCGACCCGATATATCCCAATGAACTCGAAATAAAAGACACCATGAAGTCTGACATATCTGTTCCATATTTTCATTTATTTTTATATTCAAGTAAATAATAACTGTTTAACAAAGCTCTTTATTATGGTTATAAATCTGATGAAAAATCCGTATTTAAATATGAATGATATACTAAAGGAATAATATAAAACAATCATTAAGGGGACCTGGGCACAGATTTAAAGTCAATAATTTCTCAAATTGTCTGTATGATATCATGACTTATATGTTATATATGTTACAACAAAATTTCTACTTTTGTTAAGTACTAAGGATAAAGTTTACCTTGTGAAAGCGCAAGAATGTGTCAATCAAACGCGTCTCGAAATTCGTAGTTTCAATAATTTATTTTAAGTCATGATATCATACAGAAATTTTGAAGAAAATATTAACTTCAAATCTGTGTCCGGGCCCGTTTAAGTTTTTAGGATTCCAGACAGTAAATGAAAAGAAAATTAACGTGTGCATCAGTGCCTAAAAGTCGTAAAATACTTTATCTGAAATGTGTCATCATGAAGCAGATATTTTATGTAAATACATGCTTCACCGTAAAAAAATTATAAAATTGGTTTCGTGACTGTTTTTCAAATTTGATTTTTAAATATTATAGTATAATCACTGAAAGATATATATATATAAAGCGTACATATGCAATGTTTAATTTCATTGGCCTCCGAGGAACTCAAAGTTCTGCCATCATGAAGGTAAACTTTTTTTCTTCTCCTTTTCCTGTTTGTTTACATCTTTCATCATTGGACTTAATTTTCAAAATTTAATTATGGTGTACAAAGTTACTAAGTTTACATAACTAAAATAATGGATCTTAAAATAAAAAAAAAAAATCCATCCGAAAAAATAAAACAGATCACAAGTTTGATGATGTTTACTGTAAACATAAAGGAATTACATTTAGCTGTCTGCTCATCTTTTTACTGTAAACACACCGGTATAACATTTAGTTGTGTGTTCTATTTTCTACTGTAAACATACCGGTATAACATTTAGCTATGTGTACTATTTCTTACTGTACATATACCGGTATAACATTTAGTTGTGTGGTCTATTTTAACTGTTAACATACCGGTATAACATTTATAGTTGTGTGTCTATTTTAACTGTTAACATACCGGTATAATATTTACAGTTGTGTGTCTATTTTAACTGTTAACATACCGGTATAACATTCATAGTTGTGTGTCTATTTCAACTGTTAACATACCGGTATAATATTTACAGTTGTGTGGTCTATTTTAACTGTTAACATACCGGTATAACATTTATAGTTGTGTGGTCTATTTTAACTGTTAACATACCGGTATAATATTTACAGTTGTGTGGTCTATTTTAACTGTTAACATACCGGTATAATATTTACAGTTGTGTGTCTATTTTAACTGTTAACATACCGGTATAATATTTACAGTTGTGTGGTCTATTTTAACTGTAAAAGCACCAGTATAACATTTAGCTGTGTGTTCTATTTTAACTGTAAACGTATTGATATTACATTTATTTGTGTGAACTATTTTACTGAAAACGTACATGTATTACATTACCTAATTGTTCTATTTTACAGAAAATGTGACGATATTACATTTAGCTGCGTGTCTTTCGCGAAAAAAGTTGCTGCTAAATCCATTAATGGCTAAATGTCTTGTATATATAGATCTGTATATAGGACATTCAGAAAGAGCTAAACGAGGCCATATCAACTTCCGCCAAATATAATACTCGCTAAATATAACATTAGTTTGAAGTATTTTTACTACATCAATTTCACAGATACCTGGGTTTTTCTTTGAGAATTTATAAGAAAAAGACTATGCAGAAATTCATTCTTTCTGTTATATTAAATGCTTGATACGTGTTTTTGTGATAAATACTAGTATGCAGTTCAGACGTAATAAAGCCTGTACAAAATGTGTAACAAATTTTTATAACATAGTTGTCTTAAGTATCCTATCCTATCTTCTTAAGTTTTGTTTTAAATTTTCAATGAAATAAGAATCTTTATTACCTTTTACGAGAATAAACCATTGTCTCTTTTTTTCTATTCAAAGTTTATTTAATTAATATCTTAATATTACATTGTTTCATGCAAACCTTTTTCAGTGTGCTTTGTTCTTAATTGTACCATTCCTCTTTGGTACCAATCTTACCGATGCTAGAGAGAAGGAAAATGAAATAAGATTCGGTAAAGGGAGATACGACATTGAGAAACAATGCTGGACGGAAAAACCTACAAAGCCCCGCTTGGAGGTCCGTTCTGAGTGTCAGTCTTTGACAATCAGGTCAGAATTCACTTCATTTGCAGTAATCTATCACATTTAGAAAATAACTAGAACAGTATTTCATTGTGTGTTATGAAAGGAAAGTCAACCATGCAATTAAATAATAAATGACCAATAGCTGGAGTTTTTATTTTTAAAAAACCAATGTAAGCATCTCACATACAGATGTTCCTAATTAAAGTTCTTTGTTTGATAACGTTTTTGCTGAAATAGAAAAATGAATATAATTGCTCAAATTTTTAAAATTCATAATCTTATGAATGTACATGTTTCGCCCTATCACAGGATTAAACAGCATTCTACGATAAAAGGACCAATTCCGGAGAGTGTATCATGATAAAAATAGTTACTTCAAAAAGCCATTTGAACAATATTATTCCACCCAAAACTTACTATTGCTTCACTCATTTACAAATTCGAAAAGAAATTTTTAATTATATAAGCATTCGAAATTAATTGTATGGAATATTGCAAAGGAAAGGTTTTTTTTATATAAAAAGAAGAAAATCTCTTCTCACAACAAATTCATAGATCTTATTTCATGCGAAATCATAGCATGTCGCAGAAAATAAATTAACTTCCGTAAAGCTTTCGTTTTAAGTTGCACACAAGCCATGCAGATCTAACAACGAACTGGAACTTGCAGACACTATACCAACTGGCTTACCACGGTCGTCTGTGACCAAACGCTGCATACCCTTTCATATTTTTTTTCTGAGTTTTTAATGAATGCAAACATAAACATAAAGAACACAATTTCAAAGATATTCTTTTAAAACGTGTGAGTACGATTTTCATGTATTTCTACGAAATAGTTCTGTTATTATTTATTATTTACCTCTTTGGGCATTTAAACATCTTAACTTTAAATCATGGTTACCTATTTATATACCAGATAAGTGACATGATAAAAAAAATATATTACTTATTCATGTTTTTGTAAATTGAATGAAAAGTACTTAAATTTGGCTAAAAAAATGAGTCAAAGTCATCCTTCAATCCCATGAAAGGGACCTGTAACACGTTTAAGTCAAGGTCCAAGGACATGTTTCATCTTGTTGATACGACTTTTTTTTCGATTAACATAGTGACAAACATTGATGATACGCCGTTTTTAAATTTAACATTAAATACATTTCAGGAGAAAGATTCTTCGTGCCCTGAAACGGAGGCCAGGAATAAGGGAGTTTCTTGAGCAAAAGTCACGTGATTGTAAACTAAGGTAAATGCTACTCACCTCGTTAATGTGTGAAGATTATCGTCCATACTGATCATTCTGATTATGTTTGGCCGACAAAGAATTTTCTATTTGTATCGTTGATATGTGAGACTATTTTCTGAAAGTTTCTTGGCATGCACTTTTATGTTTAAAATACCCTAGAATGATATTTTGCAAGGAAAATGAAATATAAATTTTTACTCAAGATCTTTAAAGCGAAAAAATTCCTTTTTTTATTTCAATTACTTTAAAAAAATGCTTTTTGTTTGTGAAAAAAATTAAGACTAGCAAACTGGATTTGGACTATGTATAATACAGTTATTGCTTTACAAAGTTATCTGAAATTCAACAGAAAAAAATCTTTCAGGAGATATATTGGACTGAAAAACGTTTGTCCGCACAAATTCCAGTATGTAACAAGGATAGTGAGATACAGAAATTCATGCTATGTTGTATTTCCGCACAGGCAATGTATAACATACGCCAACTGTGAAAAGAAAGAGTAAGTAAAACCTATGTTATTTATCATTTTTTTTGTCTCTTCAAAATGAAGTTTGGGATTAAGTATTTTAGCGTTATTCTTCTTTTTAATGTGAACATTGAGTTATGTGTAATTGGGCTAGGAATTATTCTTTCCTCAACTTAACAGCTCATTGATTTAAGTCAATGAAACTATAAGCATAGCTTTTTAAAAAGCTTTGCCGTCCTTAGGAACACTCTTTAAAAGTAAATCGTATCGGGCCGTATTATTATTCTTGAATAGTTCTTGGCTTTGTATTTACCTTAGCCCTACCATGTAAAAGACCGTGCAAAACAAAGGAAGAAGAAGAAATCAGAAATTGTTTCATTTGCATGGAAAAAAGGAAATTTCTATAAATTATGGAAATATAGAAACAATTTTTTATGTTTGCTATTAAATGTTTAAGTGACAATTTTCTCGATTTTAAATTCCGGCATGGTCCGGCCGCCCAAACGTTCCTTAAGTTGACTTAGAATCATCTTGATCCAGCTTTTAGTTTAAAATGATCGGGAATCAATGGCAGTTGAACATAAAAAATGATAACTTTTTACTGTACTGATTTCACAAACAACCGTTTACTATTGTTTTCATGTGAGTGTATTACAGGGATGGGGTAATTGAAAAAAGTAATTGTAATTGACTGTAATTAATTACATTTTTTGAAGTAATTGGAAGTAATTTGTAATTGAACATTTTTTCAATTACTTGTAATTGTAATTTAATTAATTAAACAGAAAAAATACCATGTAATTTCAATTACTTTTTCAATTACATTCAATTACTTTATATAATACACATTCATGATATATCGTCACCACTACCTCCCCATTTTACTGGTTTTTATTTTATTGTTAAACATATCCTCAATCCTTCAATTATACAAAATCTTAGGTTAATGCTTACAAAAAAATAATTAAATGATTGGCTTGATAATAATAAACTAGTTTCTTTCTAATCATTATGTAAATTTTGAATTTTTGGATCTATGTTTATAAATATGAATTTTGAACCACCTATCTTAGGTCTATTCAGCTATGAAAGACACATTTATCATATTTCAATCTTTGTTGTTTGATCAATAATAAAGAAATAGATTGTGTGTGTCATTAATTAAGTTCTCTTTTGTTGGGAAGAGATAATTGCTCTCCAGATCTCAGCTTTAAATTGCAATCAAAACAAATCAACTCCTCTAAAGAGATATTCATTCCATGATTTAGAAGACAAAGCCAATGAAGATAATTATTTCAATTTAAAATGCTCCGCTAGCTTTAGGAAAAAAAAACTTTCAATTTGATAATTATTTTAACATCTAAACTGATTTTTATGAATGAATTTTTTATCTGTACAATTCAGATTTATGAAGTAAAATTGTTCAACATAAATAGCAATTTAGGATGTTCAGGTTACCTTCAAAGGAAATATTTAATTTGAGGGGTTACAGTTGCGACTCATTTCACTCTATTAAAATACTCACTTTTAATCAAATATCATAAGCCATGCAATTTGTGTACATGTAGGTTTTGTGTGGTGGAAACTGCATCAAACTGATCTCGGATAGTTCTTTAAGGAGTTTCGTATTGTTTTGTAAATAAATGTTATAAATTAAACCAGAACCATACACAATATAGCAAATTATTTCTTGTACTGTTTGTGCAGAGGCTGAGCTTATATACAAATAAATGATGTTCTGTATATTCATTGACAGGGATTGTAAAATTTTTCCAAAAATTAAAAATGTAATTTGTAATTTAATTAATTACTTTTGCAAAGTAATTGTAATTTAATTAATTACATGTCTTAGAAAGCCTGTAATTTAATTGTAATTTAATTGAAGAAAAAGTCAAAGTAATTGTAATTTAATTAATTACTTTTTAAAGTAATTGACCCCATCCCTGGTGTATTATACGAAAAGTACCTCTTAGGAACGTGCTCTTTTGTGAGGGATGGTCCGCTTTGTGGTGGCCTTGTTTCCTGTTTTTTTTTCTTTAATAATGCATAATATTTCAACGTAACGTATACTAAATAAGCCAACAAAATCCTTAATTACAGGGGTTGCTCGAAAAATGGTCGTGTGAAGAGTGCTTGTTTACCAGATCAACACCGCATTTATAAAGTCTTGGTTTATTGTGTAGACAAGTATCGATTTGAACTGGAAACCTTGGAGTTACCTCAGTGCTGTACCTGTAGAGAATACTCGCTTTGCGATGGAGATGACGATGACGACGACGATGACGACGATGATGTCGATAACGATGGACGATAATGATTATCGTAATGTAAGCATAGGTTGGAATAGAAGTTTTGAGGCACCGAAAAAGGTGAAAAAAATATGACAGGATCTCATAAATTTCTATAGAAGCACAGCCTTTAATATGTTACGCAGTGTTGATTCTTCTGCTACATAGCTTTCAATGAAAAGCGTTAAAAAATATAACTGTTTATTTAATTCATTCTGATAATATTATTGTCAATTTCAGTTCTAGTGCCTTCACGGTATACTGTCGAATTATTATTGTTCTTTGGGGAACAAAGTTAGCGGATTTCGTGGGTCACCTATACCCATTTAAATCCCAGCGAACGATTTCTCTGTATCTTCAAATTACCCACTAAATAACATCCCCATGAACCAGTAAAAGAGCAAAGGCCACTTAGGGCCTTTTTTGGCCCTGTGAATTTCCGAAAAATCGAAAGTGCTCAGTTTTGGTTGAAAATGCAGTATTTTTTCTAGTCAATGTATTATGACGTCATGAAATGCGTCATTTTCACCATATCCTAAAAATTCCCATAAAAATGGCCAAAAATTGAAGTATTTTTTCAAAATTTCATATAGAGCACAACCTCTGATCCAAAATATGCAATTACATAATGAAAGCTCTGTTTCTGAAGATCATAAAATGTGTTTTAATTTTTGGATCGAGGGCGGTGCTCATATTTTATTTCTTTACTGAAGGTAGCCAAATACGCCTGTTTTCTGCAAAATTCAAGAACACTGCATTTTCTCAAAGCCTGTTTTCCAATACCTGGATTCTCAAAAAGAAATTTTGTTATAGGAAAAGAGAGCACTAAGAACTAATTTATTTTGATATATGAAATGGGACAGAGGGTGACAGTCAATTAATTGATCTGAGGACAGGACCATTTTATGCATAAAGTGAACCTAGCTCTTTTGCTTGTCCACGAACATTGATCCCTAAGAATTGAAATGATTCCACAGTACATGTAGTTGGCCACGATAATTATGTGATTTCAGATCGCAAGGATAAATGTTCACAGGAGTAGACTCACTATTTGTAGCAAGAATGTCTTTTTACTCCTCCGCCTACAGGCAAAAACGTTTTAAAAATGTTTTTACTCCAACGGAGTTATAAAAGAATTGTAAGAGGTTCATGTATTTGTTGCCAGAGTTTAAACGAGTTGTCAAGATAAGCAGCCCAATTTTTTTTTCTCACAAACAGGGATGTGTGCGAGGATGAAATTCAAGCTTATCAATAGCTGCAGATCTGTAGCTCGCTGGTCTGAAAAAAAAAATGGGACGGACGACCAGAGAGCTACAGTGCCACCCATTGAAAAAAGTGTATATCTATTGCGCACAAAAAAAGTGCGCTGTTTTTCGATTTATTTCTCCTTATATTTAAGCTGCCATCTCAAAATATTATAAGCCGTGTGTTCCTAACATATTCTTTTACTACTTCCACAATAAAACATTTCCCAAAACCGTTGTAAATAGCCCTCCTGGGATTGAAATTGAGACCATCGAAAATTTCGCTTATTTATACTGCCGTCTTGGTTATCAAGACAAGTCGGTCCAACACGCTTCGTACATGACTTGTACATACAGTTGTACATACAGTTTTGTTGTGGAAGTAGTAAAAGACTATGTTAGGAACACACGGTTAGCAAGAATTTTATATATAATGAGAAATAAATTGAGAAACAGCGCTCTTTTCTGTGTGCAATAAATACACACTTTTTTCACTGTAGCTCTCTGGTCATCCGTCCCATTTTTTTTCAGACCAGCGAGCTACAGATCTGCAGCTAGCTTATCAACTAGAAGTGTGATAAATATGGGTTCCATAACTAGTGCGAATTAGTAACCTTTTTTCCCAAACTCGAGTTCCTTAATTTTTATAATTTTCACGAGACTTTTGAAAATTCAAAAAATTAAGGAACTCGAATTTGAGAAAACCGATTACTAAAGAGCAATGGCTGTGGGACCTGTTTTCCCATTATAGAACATGGACTTGTGCATGTGTTTTGGTGAAATAAACATTCTATTAGTATGTGCGTCCCTGGTAATACACCTCAATGATCTGTCGCGATGAATATACACGGGAAAATTTCGAAGAATAAAAAATTTAATCGTAGATGTTTACCTGCATTTAATTTTTATGCCATCAAAGAATCGTCGTAGGTATATTAAACAGTCAATCAGACTCGTCACAGTTTCATAACATGATATGAACACGCAAAAGGAAAAAAACTGCGCGGGAGTGATGAAACACAGTTGATGATGGGAGAAAAAGGTATAACAGATATCAGACCTGCCTTGATGTCTCATATTTTGTTACTGGGTAGCAGGACGTATATTATATGCATATCTTATATGTTTTATAAATCGACTAGTACTTTCGAGTTATATGAAAAAAAAACTGTTTAGTACAAATAAAAGTCAATTCAAGCACTATTGTATAAGCAATACTCCTCCCTTGCCGACAAGTGTAATTAATCTGGTTCCCATTAAAAATTAAAGAGTCATAATTCCGTCAAAAATCACCCAAGTCGATTAAACTCTGAAAACACTTCGGGATCGGTATTCCACAATGGATGGTGTAGACTGACAGACTGAAATCTCTTTTGGAGGATTGTTGGAGCCCATGATACAGTACTTTGAAAACTGTATGATATTCAGTTACCACACAAACTTACATTTAAATACTATGAAAATACATCGAGATCGGTATTCCACAATGGATCGTGTAGACTGACAATTGCAGTAAAGACAGACTGAAATCTAAATAGTTATTTCTAAAAATCTCTTTTGGAGGATTGTTGGAAACATGTATTAATAAAATAATAAATAGTTATTTGAATTCTAATAATTTCAATTTAATTATTCATCTGAGGGTTAGGGAACCATATTTTCTTTGATTGTCAGATTCTATCGCAGTCTTATACTATCCATGCATGCCATTTTTTCTTTCCAGGCAAATGCATGAACTATCATGCTTATAGTAAATAAAAAGCTGACCACTCTTAGATTTATTTAAATCTTTAATGAAGCTACAAAGCAGGCGACACATGCGATACTTGGAACACTCTAGTTTAGTGTTCGGCTGCTTCTACCTTAATCTTCTGTTACTTCTTGATCTTGTTTTTGTTAGTTTTTGAATTCTAAAAACGTTGACCAATGAAGATATATATACAAAGTCCACTGACTTTTACCAGTACAAAATTAAATGCGATGAATGTGTGGGAAGTTCTATGTAAACGTTAGAGAGCTAGTGTAAGGATGAGGATCTTATCCCAGTCGTTATATTGCGCTGTATTACTCACTGTATTACTAAAAGGACTTATAAAAGCAAACTTGTATCAGAAATTTTTGTCAATATGGAACAGCCTGAAACCTGGGAAAAGAACTTTCATCTGCTGAGAAGTACATTTCTCCTGTAGTTACATACACGCTTCAGTTGTACAACCTATCGTTGGACCATATTTTGTCTGACATGTGACACGTTTGCGAGTTTGTAGATGAGAAACCAAGAGAGATAGTAGAGCTTTACTGTCGAATGCCATTCTCAGCGATTCAATATCTAACTGGGCAAGCAAAAAAAAAAAAAAAAAATCTCAAAAAAAAAAAAAAAAAAAAAAAAAGAAAAAAGATTCCCATCCTTTATAATGGAATAGTCATTGCCATCTGTTCCAATTCCAATATAAAAGTACTAAGTAAGTTATGAATCTTAGAGTGATGATAAAACTGCATGATGAACGTAACTAAGGATTTATAATCTCCATCATGTATTAAATGTTGCCCTGCTACTATTGAAATGATATTGAATCATTTCCCTATATGAAGAAGGTGAAGATAACGAACACATACCTGGCGATGCTTGCAAATCGATACGACTTAACATGGCCTTCTCTTCTGCAGAAGAAGATTTTTTAAAGACTTTCCCTATATAAATCCCCAAACAAAACTTAAATCAAAATTAGAATTTACATTACCTGAGGATGATTGCATATTGAAATGACTTATTGTCGTCTCACTGTTCTAGAGATTTTAAAAGATTTTTTCCGATACATATGATCCCTTGTTGTGGATCAATCTTTCCCCAATGGAGCCATGATTTGAACAAATTTGAATTTGTACTTGTAGGGATACTTGCATGACTATTTTAAAATATAAAGAATCAGTGTCCGGCCTGTTGTTTTTGAAAAGAATTTTTCAAAGTTTTTCTCAGACGTTACAAATTAAAGCTTTGGCCCGCTATTATGGCCTCACCCTGCACTCGAAAGCCATGATTCTAAATAACAAAGAATCTGCATGTACATAATGTTAAAAGCGTTCGCATTTTCATCTTTTCTGGCCCTGTAGTTCTTGAGAAGATTTTAATGACTATGCAGATGGTGCCTTTTTTCCAATATATCCTCTCGGAAAGGACCATAACCCTTCATTTGGACATTTTCAATTTATCTTATCCAAAGATATGCTGTGCCAAGATTGATTGAAATTTGTCCAGTTGCTTTCGAGAAGAATATGAAAATCTGAAGTTTTTCGACAACTACGACACTAACGAAGACAGTGACGGACAACGGACAAATTTTGATCAGAAAAGTTCACTTGAACCTTTGGCTCAGGTGATTAAAAAGGTTCAGATTTGGTAATAGATTATTTTTACTAATTTTGACGTATATATATATATATATATATACACATGTTCATTATTTAGTCTATTTATAGTCCCTATGTATAATCTTTACAAACGCAAACGGTTCATAACACTACATATTCACTGGATTTGAAGACATTCACCAGAGCGTCAGTGTATTTTTTCATAATTTCAAGATGAACGAATCCACTAACCTGCAATTTTTTACCATTCCAACCCCTCCCCCTCATTGAAATGTTTTCACATTATTTCAGTTATTCTTAATTATCTCCGCTTGAAAAGGGGCGTGGCCGTTCCTTTAAACAAGTTTATATCCCCATCCCGAAGAATATGTTTTGTGCCTAGTTTACTTGGAACTGATCCGGTGGTAGTAAATGCAAAAAGTTCACAGCGGCAGCTTGACGTACAAACACAAAGGCATACATACTTTGATCAGAAATTAAAGCTCCCATTGTCATCGATGAGCTAATTAGAAAATTTGGGGAATG